CACTTTTAAAAAAAGTGAGAAATAAAATTTTTTTGGGAGCAAAAAAAAAAAAAAAAAAAAAAAAAAAAGTCAAGTCTAAATTAGTTTAAAAAAGAAAAAAGGTACTAATTTAATCTCAGTTTCTTTTGGATTATTGACGTATTTGGGATTTAAACTGAACTGGAAATGTGTCCCAAGTAAAGACACTGCAACATTATATACAAACAAACAAATTTTTTTTGACAAAATATTTCTAGAGTGAACTTCATATATTCTATTTTTCTTTTATTAGGATTTGATTACTTATCACGTACTACCATTTCATAGAGTGGTAGTACAATATTACAATGTCAAACACTCCAAAAACCTTCTAAGATCATAACAAATGTTATACATATATGCTGTGCTGTGAAACATGTTTTGGCATTTGCAGATTTCTTTGTTTTTTTTTTTTTTTTGCTTTTTTGTCATATAAATCAAGCACAATTTGTATTTGGAGAAATATCTAAGTAAATATATTATTTTCATTTATCGAGAGAAAAAAAAAATTATTAAGTCCATATCAGCCATGCATGAAAATATAATCATGGATTCACTTTAATTGTCAGCATTATTTTCTCAGTTTTCACTCATTTTCACAACCCACACCCAGTAAGAGACAGACTGGAAGGAACACAAATGCTCACATTTACCAAAGACCATCCTGATGGTCACTTCTGAGCAAATCCTGTGGACTGACGGGATAAAAGTGGGACTTTGTGCAAGATGTTCATCCTGATACATTTGGCATAAAACTAAGACAGCATTTCAAAATTAGAACATTATTGTGACAGCAAAACAAGGTGGGGGTAGTGTGATACTGCGGGGGATTTTTTTCTCCTTCAAGGCCTTTATGACTTTCTGTATTTGACTAAACTTTTTATTATGCTGGGTGTGTCCTTAGGCTCAGCACAGTTAGAGAGGCTCAGCAAAGAACTGTACTTCTTAATGCCGGGTAGATTTGTTTTTCTGTTATTAAATGAAATCAGAATTTGAAACTACATTTTGTATTTTCTGTGATTATCTTGGTATGATAATAAATGATCTGAAACATTTAAGAGTGACAAAAAACAGAGAAGAAATCTGTAAAGGTGCAAACACTTTTTCACAGTATTGATAATTGTAATAGTAATAACATTAATTTAACTTAAAGCAACATAAACAATTTATTGTTCATATTTCTTTTACTTGAACAAACTTGATAGCGTAGCTAAAATTAGACAAAATGAAAAACAGATTTTATTATTCACACACCTTCCGGAGGGCAGCCATTTCCTTTACCATCACCTCAATGTCCTCATGATCCTCCTCGCCGTCATCATCATCATCACCATCATCCTCATCTTCATCTTCATCATCTCCCCACTCGCGGCCAACTTTCAGGTAGGGCTCGACGAGGATGGACTCGGTCCCTTGGATGTCGCAGCGGCAGAATGGGCAGGTGCGGCCAGCTGACCTCTGTTGAATTATGATCACGAACCCAACACAGGTAAAGATACAGAAAGACAATTCACACGCAGCAATCCACTGTCACGTACAGTCAGTACCAGCTCAGATCTTTTTGAACTATGTGTAGTGGAAAGAGTTGAACTTAGCTTCAAAGACGGTGTTTTAAAAAGTGCTGGAAAATACCAACAGTTTCAACAGAAACTTTCGATTGAGATTTTCCACTTTGTAGCCAGATGGGGAGATGAATTTTTAGTGTTTTGACTGCGAGATACAGCGATAGTTTTTAAATCATGTCTGGTAAGAGATTGTGCTCTGAACGCCTTGGCAACCGGATCCTGCTGTCAATCAGCAATGAAAAACTGCAACCTAAGAAAAGATAGTAATTCTTCCATTGACGTCTCACAAAGATGAGGTTTCTCCTATTTTCTTTTTATGTTTTTTCTCTTCTTCCAATTAATCTCTTGTGTGCTTTCACACACGCACACACACCCACACACCCCCACACACACACACACACACACATGCACTGACTTTTACTCAAAGTCAATGTGACTGAAGAGGATGTGAAGCTGATCTCACACAGGAAATTCTGAGCCAAATGTCAGGACACAGCGCCTTCATTTCTGACAGAATTATGCCTCTACACATAAGCTAGAGGGGTTGACTCGCTGATCGAAATGCTTACAAAGCAAGATACCATGATTTTACAATACCAACTATAATTTTTTTTATGTAGTTCTGTGCTTTAAAAACATATGATAAGGCTGTGCCACTGCAGGGGCTAATAGAGTTGTTGTTAGACTGGATCAACCAAAGGTACATTCCTTTCTGATTTGATCAGCTGCTTTACTTTCAGATATCTGTGTTAGTTCAATATGTGGCAAAGGTACTTTGTTAAAACTTTCAAATACCCCAACAGGTTACCCAAGTAAAATGATAGTAATAAAAAAAATGCTCATATGTAATTTTACAGTCCTTGTTGATCACATGAAAATCTTAAATGAATCTCATATTTCAGTTTTCTGAGTACTTCAGTTTAGATTGCTGTGCAATCAAAGCTTAAACTGAATTTCTCAGTTAAGAGGAAAGGATGATTTGTCTATCTGCAAAAAAAAAAAAAATCTGTTATTCTGTTATTCTGCACTAGAATCAATCCAATGCACCAGATTGGGGTTTTCTAAGTCATATACTGTGTATGACTACAAGGGGTAATGATGCAACAGTAAGAATTCATAAATTCATAGTCTGAGATCAGAGTGACTCTTTCATAACAAACATGCAGGATATTATCTCCTAACTAACAATCACTCAAATGTAAATTTGCATATTTTAAAATGTATGTACAAAAATGTTTTGGTGCTTTTAATTTTTTTTTGTATTAAACATATTAGATTTAAAATAATTTATATGTTACTCCATCTATATTTTGCACCCAAGGCAAAAATGTGTAAAGCAAATTTAGATATATTTTTTTAAGTCTTATTAGTAAAATAATTTACAATTTTTAACAAAACCCCTCGCTGACAAACGCTCATAAAACCCTTTGATGCCTTTAGTATTCTCCTATAATATCTCATAAAGTTAGAGCAAACAGAGTCCTGTGTTCTCTCTTAATGCTCAATTTCATTCAGTTCACCCCTGAATTTTTCCATAAGATTTTACTACGACTGATTTAGCATCTTTTAAGAACTGAAGAAGAGGATCAACTTTGTGTCTCGTGAAACAAACAAGGCGCTTTTTATACTCTTCCTTCGTTTTACCCGAGACCCACCCAATGCGTTTGTTGTCGACAACCCCAATCTTAGTCTCATCTGACGACAGCACACAGTCAGCATACCGCCTAAACATCTAGTCAGCATGATGGCTCCAGTAATTTATTGTAATTTATTGTACGTTTTGGATAGCAAATTTTGGGAATATTGCATATTGCCATCTAGGTTATAAAAATAACCTTGTACCAAAAGAAGCAATGTCTTAGAAAAATTACATATTACCTATTAAAGAAGGTGATTACTCAAACAAGAATGAGTTTTGTGCTTTCTGAGCCAGGTGTTATCTAAGGAGATCAAAGATGCGTTTGTTAAAAGGAAAAAGACGCCATTTCTCTTTTCTGTCTGTAAAATCCATCCAGGTCCTTTAGATAGAATACACAGTGACAATTTTACAGCTCTTCCTTATAAGATCAATTACATGGTTCATATTAGAAATGTATGAGAGTAAATGACCTTATATGTGAAACAAAAGAGTGTTTAGGAATGACTACATTGATCAGAATAGTGAATGTATTTAATGCAACATAATTAATAAATGTTCTGAAAAGTTGCATATGTTAGTCATACTTTCTTCTGCAAATTGAAGTTTTAAATGATCTATGATTAGAATTGCATGGAACTATTTATGAAAAAAAGTAGTCACTTCATGGCATTTCAACATTTAAATAAAGTGTTTGCATAGAGAACACAAATGACATTTTGACCTTAACTCCAAACCACATTCAAATAACCAGCATTGTTATAGTGCTACAAAAATAAACCTGTTCAGATAATCCGGTCTGCTTCCCTTCACTGAGCATGCAGAAGAGTACCGCAGAAGTCTGTGGGAATGTTTATGATTCAGCTCCAGCTCAGTCTGCAAATCTGAAGACTGATCAGCATCGGGATCTTTTTCTAAATGCATGGGATTCCTACCTGCCACCCCGTGAGACAAGGCTGGCACAGGAGATGTCCACAGGGCTGAATCCGAATGTCCTTATCCCTCTCTGCACAGATCTTACACAGCTGGAAAGTGCTTCCAATCTCACAGTACATCTCGTACTGCTCCTGTCGATGGTTGATTGGTTAAAGGAATAAAGCAGAATAGATTATCAATAAGGTTTTATAATATAAAAAAAAGAAAAAAGAAGATTCTCTTTAAAAGACATGCAAACGTGTATTAACTTACTTCTGTAACTTTGACTTTGTCTCTGCCGGTTGGTTCACACAAGCTTGTCAGGTCAGGGTTCATGTCGCGGCCATCTGGGTACAAGTAGCTGCAGTTACAAGAACAGACAGTTCTTAAAAGTTGCTTAGACTGAGGGGCGGGGGTAAAAAGAGACATGTGTGTGTATGCATCTATGCGTGTGTGCGTTTGTGCTGACCAGCCCTCCTTGAAGCCTTGGATGAGTGTCTGGTACAGAGGCTTGTTATGTGGAATGGTCTGGATGATGTCGCCTTCAGAGGTCACATGACCAATGGCCCACTGACCCATTCTGGTGCAGCTCAGACGAAAGATGAAGCTGGAAATATTTAATGATGTAAAGGAAAAATATATTGTGCATCATTTTTGTCACTGTACTTATGGGTAGTAAAATATATTGATGCCTATTCCTAATCTGAGCCACAGACTTTTTATGTTAATTTTTTTTTATACAAAGAAATATGAAGAGTGAGTGCTCTTCACTATTACATCCCTGAATAAAAAAACATGTTCAAACCATTGCCTTCATGAATCATCTAGTTTGTAGTTAGAGTACACCAGTAGGTAACTTAACCTGAAATAAAAATGCTGTTGTTCTGTGAAGGCCTTTCATGTTTGTAAGAGATTATTAGACAAACATCATGAAGGTAAATTCCCAAACCTCAACCTGAATGAAATGCTGCACCAGTACACACAACAGTGTAATGCTGTTCAGTAATGCTGAAAAATCTGGGAGCTTGCAGTGATGGGAGAAGTTCAAATAGAAGGATTTTAAAAAGAAATGTTGGTATAACTATTTTATTACATTTTGGACAGTTTTAACAGCTGCTTCCAAACTGACACGTCATTTATTGCTTTTGTTATTTTTACCTAATTTTCAGCCTTTTAATTACTAATTCTGGTATTAAAAAAAAAAAAAACACAACGTGATTACACATTTAATATTGAATAGCAACTTTCATTGCTCTGTCACTTAAGAGCATTTGATTGCGCCGGTGCTTACCTCCCAGGTTTGTGCAGGTAGTGTTCGAGCCGAGCTACAACTTGGTCATAAGTAAGAAAGGCCATGTAGCCTGGGTGTGTCACAGCAAGCTGGTTCCAGTTTCTTATAAGTGATTTCCACGGCTAAAAGAGGCAGAAAAACAGTAAATCTGTGAGTCATTTTCAAAGACATCACAAAAATATATTTTACAGTTTACTTTTTGTGTTTACTAAAATGTGCCTGCATCTGTTGTACTAATTTCAATAAACCAGCTGAGTGACTGTATCGTTGTCTTCGACAATAATTTATGTGGATCAGTTACATTTGTTGTTTACGACCGGAAATTTCGCGCATGCGCACAATGCGCGAAATTTCTCCACAATGCGTAGCTCTCTGTGTCGGCTACGTACACAGACTCATTATCAATGATTCAACAATTATGACAATGATTCAACACCAAACAACGCTCAAACATTTCCCACTCAAAGAACAGAACATTCAGGTCGTTATGGTGTTTTTTTTTAATGCTTGATGTTTATTTTGCCATTATTAATAAGTGATCGCTGTGGTAGGTTAGCTATCGCTGCTATTAGCTAATCTAAATCCTCCGTGGCTAATTAGCTAAACACCTGACTGATGACCTGCCTCCCCCTGAGAGGTCAAAAAAAAAAATGTAAATGTCAAATGTGAGTTTGTCCTTACTTCTCATCCTCACCAATCAAAGCAATGAAACTGTTGTCAGGAA